GCAGAGGGAGTCAAATGCCCACAAGGCTCCTACCTGTGAACAGAGGTATCTAAATACCTTCCTGGTCTGTCCCTAGCCTCAGCTCTCAGAGCTTTTGATTTAACACTAGATGGAAGAGAAAGGGAAACTGAGGCAACGAGCCTCCCTACACCAACACACATGTAATATGCACCAACACCACTCCTGGCCACAGCTGCAAACACAGACACGAAAGCCCTCATTGCACCAACAGCATCGTCCTGCACAAATACACACGCGGGTGACCACAAGCTTGAGTCTGCAACGTGCTAAGAAGCATCACCCTATACACATGCACCTCCAAAAATACACGCGTGAGCCTCGCTACACACACATACAAGCCGCCTATGCACAAACCACTCCGAACACGCAACTCCCCACCCCACAAATCAGCGAGCTGCAACAAACCCAGCCGCGCGAACAGGCCACTTTTCAAGTGCTCTTGTGCTAATTGAGTCGACACGTTTGGTAGCAAACAAGCAGAGGCTTAAGGAAGTCCAGCAAAGCATTTCCTCATTAACATCTCATCCTCGCAGGGCCCCTGTATGTTCTCTGGCTGGCTCTGGGCTTCCTGACAGGAAGTGGCAGAAGCCCAGCTGTGTGCGCACTAGGCGGACCGCTATTCCCAAGTGGAGCCTGATAACAAAGCGGTGCTAGAAACGAGAGAACAATTACCAGAAATCTGCAGAGGGAGGGAGGGAGCTGGGCAAAGCCGGAGGGAAGGAATGCAAAATAGAAAGGAAACCGGTGCCCTTCTGCTCACCACGAATCAGTTCACACCAGACCATCCTGCCTCTCTGGGAACTTTCTGGCCACTGACCAAATGCAAAACAAGGAAGGTTTGGCATAGTCCTGGGCACTTCTCGGCAGTGGGGGCTGATGATGTGCACGTGCAGTTGCTGCAATCGGATACACAATGTCTCCAGTTCTGGAGCATGCATGAAAGAGCAAACGGCTACGGGGAGCAGGTGGAAGCGTCTTGCAGAGTCAGAAGGACGATGTGGGGATGACCTGCACCAAGGCTGGGTGCTTCTCAGGCAGCCATGTTTCATGGCCAGACCTAACAAGTTGCATCAGAAGCCAGGTTCCCAGAGAGACTCTGGCGGCACTGGGCAGTTTGGAAGATCTGGTTTTGAACCCACCCCTGTCTCCACAGGACCTTCCTGCTCACTTCTCCTTTAGGGTCCCGCAAGCATCTTACTTCCCTCTTCAGTCACATCTTCCCCTACCTCAGCAGTGGCCAACCTTTTTTAGCAGGTACCACAAACTAGCTCCACACCCTCCCCGAGTGCCACTCCAATCCCTTCGCCTGCCCAATCTGCTGCTTTGCTTTCTCCTTCTTCCCCAATCTGCTTCATGCCACACAGAAGCAGTCGTGCCACCTGTGGCATGCGTGCTGCAGTTTGGCCGCCCCTGCCCTACATGATGCTGGTGGCAACAATGATTTCAGAGCAGGGGCAGACCCTCGGCCTGGCCTGCAGAGAGTCCCTATCACCACTGCCCCACACCATGCAGCTACCCCTCTGTTTTCTCTACTGGAGCATGAGAGGCTGCGTCCCACTCTGCTTGGCAAATCCAGATTGATTCACCCATCGGCAGAAGTCGCCAGCATCTGTTTCCAGGACGGGCAACTTGCAGAAAATGGAAAGCAGAGTGGATGCCAACCGCTTGGGGAGGATGGGAAAGGAGCACTGGGTCTGGGCCTGCTGATGGGCGGAGCACTGGAGAAGAGAGGCTAAGGGAACTAAAGACCCAGCCACGCAGAGATCAAGGGGGAAGGATTTACCACCTGTCCAACATACCAGCACCACCTACGTCTGTGGCACGTATGTACTACCTACACACACACACCTCCTGCATGCATGCACTCACCACCTTGATGCCCTGCATTCACATGTGCCTCCACCACAAATGAAACATGCCGCACAGATATATGCTGTGTAGACATCCATGCCCGCACTACACATATGCCCACACCAAGCAAACATATGTCACAGATCAGAGGATCAGAGGAAAGTAGGGCTGGAAGGGACCTCACAAGGTCACATCTAGTCCAGGCCCCTGTTCAAGGCAGGATCAGCCCTGATTGAACCATCCCAGCCGCATGTCTATCCAACCTGCTCTTCAATGTCTCCAGGGATGGAGACTCCACAGCTTTTCTAAGCAGCCTGGTTCGATGCTTGACCAGCCTCAAAGCCAGAAAGTTCCTCCTCATTTCCATCCTCAGTTTCCTCTGCTGCAGCTTGAGGCCGTTGCTCCTAGTCCTGTCTCCTGCGGCCACAGAGAAAAGCCCATCTCCATCCTCTCTATAATCACCATTTAGGTATTTGAGGACTATGAACCCATCCCTTCTCTTCTCCACACTCAATCACCCTAGCTGTTTCCTCATCAGTCTCATCTCCAGGGCCCCCAATCATTTTTGTCACTCTGCACCGGACTCTCTCCAATCTGTCCACAGCTTTCTTGAAGTGTGGGGCCCCAAAATGGGCCCAGTGCTCCAGATGAGGCCGCCCCAGTGCTGTACCAAGCAGGTGCACTCCCCCCAGAACACATGGGTTGTTCATTCACATGCAAACCAGTGTCACAAGGCAGTGCACAGCACCACTGCACACATGTTCTTTCTATGTAGTGATTCATAGAGGAACATCCCCTCCTTCCCCATCCAAGCACACCCATTTGGGGAGGGATTCACCCAGACAGTTGTTATCCCTTTAAACTCAAGCATACTTATCCTTTGGTCCAAGGACACATGAAGACTGCACAGTGTCCAGCCACATGCTCCAATGCACTCTTTTTTTCCTCCAGGTAGTGCCCCCTTACTCAAGTAGACACACACACGTGCTATTTATCCCTGCCAGGAGGCCCACACCTGGTCACCCAAACAGGCATGTGCAGCTTATTCAGAGATAGGTATTGTCATGACTAGATCTTGAGGCCTCATGCAGAGCAGATGGCTGGAGGGCTGGGGCAGGGATCCCTCCTACACACTGTTGGTACTCCTCAAAGCACAGATACAGGGCCAGTGTCCTCAAGCATCTAGCAAACAGCCCAGATGCTCAGGCTGGGCATGGGCCTCACTGCTGCCTGCAGACTCAGCAAGGCGATGTAACCCTGGGTAGGTGCAGGTCACTTGGGGACGGAGCCTTGTTCATCCCCAGCTAACCCTGACCCTGCGCAACCCAGCAGCCTCCTCTCTGCCACCTTGCCGTGGCACGATGCTTTGCCCAGCCCCTGCCCAGAACGCACAGACAGATGCTGCCCCAAAATCAGCTGCAAACAGTGACAGCGTTTAGCAGCACCAGGGAAGCTACTGCTTTCTGACATCTGCTCAGAGTGCCCTGCCAGCACCACTGAACACCTGCCCGTGGGTTTCATCAGCATCACATCCCCCATTCCCCCACAGCTGCACCATTACTGTGGCTTACCGGTACCACCTACTCCTCACCACTGCCTACCTGTGCTGTAGGGCTGGGACAGTCTGTGAGCCAGGGTGTAGCAAACACCTCCTCTCTGATCTAGGCTTAGCTTCCTGGTCCAGGGAAGTCCTTCAGCACATGCTTAAGTTTCTCCCCATGTTAGTGGGGCTTCAGTGCCAGCAAAGCATGCGGATTAAGCCTTCAGATAGGAGAGCAAGTCACCTGCCAGAGTCCCGTGTGGACAGGGAATAATGTTCTCTACCCATCTCATGCAAGTATCTACCCACTGTCCAGCCTCACACATGCCAGGTTGCCACCTCCTGCTGGGCCAGGATCTCTTGTGCTGTCTCCCGACCATTCTGCATTACCTGATCTGTCTCCTTATTTATCACCAAATAGACTGATCTCCTAGGAGGCCTCTTTAGCTACCAAGTGCAGACCAGCCAACAAGGCTCTTCTCCAATGACCCTGGAGGGAGTGTGATCAAAGGGGAGGCCTCACCAGGCCCCTCCAGCTCACTCCTAGCCCGATGGGCTCAGAGCCATCAGCTCGGTCACAGCAGGTAATTCCATTAGTCTCTTCATCAAATTATCCTCCACAAGCCGCATCACATTGTTCCTCCTGTCTTTCACCTGGGCCGTGTTTCCATACGTACAGACAGCCCTCCCCAGCCTTGTGACCCTCCCCTACAGAGCAGCCCTCAACTCACACCTCCAGGGCCTTGTGCTCCCCAGAGCAAGGGCTCTAGGTGCAAACCACACTGCTGGATCAGGCTCAGCAGCCCATTTTTTACCTACATCCAGGCCTCTGACTCTCTTCTCAACCCCTCTGCTTCACACTTCAAACAGCCCCCAGGTCATTCTGGACCCACTGCTCAGACTGATACCAAAACCAAGCTGGTTTAAAACCCAAACCTGAGGACTTTAATGCAAGCACTGCATGTAACCCCAGCCTGCTTGGGGTGGAGGTGGGGAGAGGTGGCATCAAACCAGGGATTAAATATTCCTGATGCCTTCTCCTGTCTGGTTTGGACCCCCCTTCCCTCAGGAAAGAAGGATCAGGGCTTGGAAGAAATCCCTCCACTTGCAAATCAATGTATCCTGGCCCCACCGGTGGTTTCCATTCAGAGGATGACGGGGGAGCAGGCTGAAAACAAGGCCACTGTCGAACTCCATCAGCGAGGACAGACACCAAGATGCACACTGGCGCTGCGTGGGAAAGGAGGCGGAAGATTTTAACCCTCGCTGGGCAAATCCGTCCATTGATCAATGCTGGGAAAAGGTCTCCTCCTCTCCAGGAGACTCCTGAAAACAGTTCTCGCTGTTCAAACTGACACACAAACCCAGGCCTGAACTGACAATGCTGAGCCAGATACTAAAGAGAGGCCCCTTATAGGAACCTGCCAGTTCACACATAACCAGACAGTTCAGATACCCACTAATGGAGGCTCCTGCATTTGTAAAGGATATTGGATAAACACTTGGGTTGCTCAACTTGCTTTTGAAATGCAAAAGGAGATGGGAGGGTGGAAGAGGCGGGGGGGGAAGCAAACAAAACCATTCCTACCTCTTTTTCTGAGATATACAGCTGATCTCCCTTTAAAACCACATAACGGTTTTTCCAGATTTCTCTAAAAATGCCTTTCCCGCAAAATTTCCGCACCCAGCCGACTTTCTCTGGCTGCAAGGGCTGCTGGTTTCCATCCTGTGGCCCCTAGCAAAAAAAAAAAGGAGGGGGGGGATGGAAGAGACAAATGCATTATTAAAGGTTTTATGCCCCTACGCTCTGACCTTTCTGTCCCCAACTCTCCCCCACCCCTGAAGCGGAGACTTAGGTACTTTGCCAATTGTACTTTGCCAAAATTGCCCTGTGAAGACATGAAAGAATAATAATAATAATAATAATACCAAAGGAATGAGACACATTCACAAGTGGTGTCTCAATCTGGGCATTATATAAGAAAGGCTGCTCTGTTGCATTCAGCTGAGACAGCATGCGTTTGCTGTTGGGGGGGAAAGCAATTCTCACTAATTGATTTTTTACTGCAGTGCAAAATGCATTTTTTGAGCCTTTGACAAAGAATTAAAGGCAAAAATACAAAGCCTGGATTTTTATTTATTTATTTTTTTTAGAGGTGATCCCTCTCTATAAAAGTCCCCAGAGTGATCTATAGGCATGGCGCGCACACACACACACACACTCACTCACACACACACACACGCATGCATGCATGCATGCACACAGAGAGACTCTGCAGAGAGGAGCCGGAGAGAGAAACACAATGTCTGTAATGTGTATTTCATCGCTTCCTTGCAATCAAAAATGAAAACCGCATGACTCTACATCCCCTGCTCTACAAAACAGGACTGGGTTTCTTGGCAAAATTCAAGTCAAAGGAGGGGACACGGTGCAGCTGGACAGAAAGAAAGATGGGGGGGAGGGGGTTGATCTGTTTTCTTCTTTCAAAAGGTGGAGGCAAGACTCAAAAGGAACAATTGGAATGAAAGAAATGATCCCCCAGCAAAAAAAATGCCCCGGCACCCCCCTCATCCACTCCCCACCCGGCCCAAGCAAGAAGCCGTTTCAACTCACCCTTTTTGCAGAATTATTTTTTTTCATCATTCCTTAATGTAAGCAGCCTGGAGGGGGAGGGGTTTGGGGAGGGGGACCAGAGAGGGGCTCCTGATGGCAATGAAGCTGGATTTGATGTGCCTGCTCTGGGGGGGAAGTGTATGGGAGATACACTGGGTACCTCCTCTCTCGCGCTCTCTCTTCGCCCTTTGCAGATTACAGAAGCTCTCCAGTTACATTAAAGACCAGCCTGCTTCTGTAACACATCCCCACATACTTATCCATACACACAGCATCCCCCCCACCACCATCCCTCTGCGCTTTCATGGGCTTGCACTGAAGGGCTGGCCTGGGCTCCAGAGCTCCATCTATAGCCAAGCGAGTATGACGTCTCAGAGTCGAGAATAAAGGGCGAATCACAGTCCACGAGGGTTTTCTTCTTTGTTTCTGACTCATTACCGAGGGTGGGAAGGGAAGGAGCGGGGGGGGGGACAGCCCAGGCTGAGGGTCAGCAGCAAGGGGAAGCTGGAGGGAGGCCTGCAAATTGTCAGCTGTCTGCAAGCTGCGCCTCGGCGCAGGTTGCTGCAAGACTTCCCGGCTGCCAGAAGAGCGAGCGCGAAGGTTTTCACACCCAGGGGAGCCGCAGCCGAGAAAGTGGCTGGAAGAGATGAAGCATAAACAAAGGAAGCAATTGCCTCTCACCTGCTTGTGTTCGGCGGGCATGGGAAGTGGGGGCTTCTTCCCGCTCTCATCTTGGGCCCACAGGGCCCAGGCTGCCAAACACGGAGAGGTGCCAATGGTAAACACCCCAGAAAGTTTGGGGCACCCATAGCTGATGTGCTGCTTATTGGTTGCCTGTGGTGTGTCTGTTGCATATCAATGGGAGCACGGCCCTGGGGGCATGGCACGGGCGCTGGGTAGCATGGCACTGGGGGCATGGCACGGGTGCTGTGGTATTCAGGTCACAGAGAGATTCATTAGCTCCATGGAGTGAAGAGCCTTGCAGTGAAGACGTTCAACCTGAAGCTTGGCGCACACCCGCACTTCACCACTGTCAGACTATATTTCAGCCCAGGTACATAGGAATGAATGCCAGGAGAATGCCACAGATGTACCAGTATGGCCGCAGACGTCCTCTTCGTGCATTAAAATCCTGGAAGCCAAAATAGCTACGAAAAGCTTGGAATGTAAAGTCTTTGCAGGCCATTCAAGTAGGGGGGAAATGGTCTTTTAGCCCTTCCATTTCTATGGGAACTTCCTCCCCCACCATATACACACACACACACACACACACACTTCACAGGCTCAGCAGAGACCGGGAAGATCTGCAACAAGTTGCTGTCTAACACAGAGCCTTGCATAAAGCGTGAGCACCTTGGGAAGGGAGCAGCACTGGAGGAGTTCAGTGTTTGTACAGCACCTGGCACAGCAGGTCCCGAGCTACTGAGAGTGGAATAAATGCAAACAACAGACAGAATAAGCATGAAACACCGTAAACGACAATATAGCTGTGATAATAAATTAACAAAATAACAGAGTATGGTAGAATCATGGATGATCTCACGAGGTCCCTTCCAGCCCTAAACTTCTGTGAATCTGTGAATATAATAACGGTATTTCCAAGGTTTCCGGGGAGCTCAGCTTAAGACACTGAGGCCTCATCTCAATGACTTGGTCCTTTCCACCACCGCCCAGTCTCCGTAAGCTGCTATTTTGCAGTCGTCTTCCATCCTGTAACCATACCTTGACCTATGAAGATCCAGCAGATCCACAGCACGGGATGACAGATCGCCAACTCGCAGACAGTGACATCAGTCCAGGAGGTTGCGAGAGGAATATTAATTCAGAATGATAACGATATGCTTCAAGCAGACTTCCCACAACATCATAATGTCCTTCTCCAGGGCTGGGCCGCTGCCTCGGGCTTCAAGTGAGCTGGGCTTCAGTCCCTGCCCTCTGAACTGTGGCATTTACTTGCCTTATGAGTGCCTCAGTTTCCCAATCTGTGAAATCAGGGTAATTATCCTTTGATGTTTAAAATGTGGGGAACGCTACAGCTGGAAACTGCTCCTCCAGGGCTAAGGGTTGGAAACTGCTCCTCAAGGGCTATGGGTGAATGTAGATCATTGCTGTTATGACTTTGACTTTCCTAAGTGAATACAATGCTCAAAGGAGCTGAGCTGGGAACAGGCCCCTGTTCTCCAGATCCAAGGCTAGGACTTTAGCTACTAAGCCATGCTGCCTCCTTATCAATTCCCAGGGGGACCTGGAGTGGAGAACTCAGGGCAGGGCAGTCTATTACCGGCACAGAGCACCATTACCCTCCATTCACTGGAAAGTCAGTCCAGGCAGCAAAAGCACTGGCTTCCACTTCCCCTGCCGTCATGGGAAAACCAGCTCATAGAGGCAAGAGGGACTGCAGCATGACCAAGGCCACAAGCTCCCAAAGCTTCGAGTCAGCCCCCACTCAGCCATGGGATCACCTGACAAATCAGGAAGTTCAAACAAACCGCACGCTCACCCACGGCCAGCTCACACATCCCCAGTCTGCTGAAAAAGCAGCCTTCTTGGACCACTTGGGTAGGTCCCACAAAGGGCAAAGCCACTGACCAGGTTGGCAGGAGCTGGAGGCTTGCATGGACTGGGGGCCTAAAGACCCTAATGCATTTTGCATCTTTCCGTCTAGGTTCCCAGATTCTTCACTTTTCTGTCCTTCAGATGAGACAAAAGTCAACGTCTGTGGAACTCGTGGTCATTAAAAGCCTCTTCACCCTTAGCACCTGAGCTGAGGCATTAACCTTCATTTCCTGGACTAATTTAACATGCCAAACAAGTCTCAGCTAGATATGGCCTAGACTCTGAGTGACACCAGGGCCCCTTATGCTGCCCTGCTAGTGGGAAAGAAGGGGAGAGCGGGTGTGAGCATGCACGCACCCCAAAAAGCTGCCTGACAATTCTTCACCTGCTATGGGGAAGTCAGCTCATATCTAGCCCTGCTGAATCAGGAGAATGGAAGGGATTTCCATGCGTAGTCCAAACCCACTCCAATCACCTGGAATCAAAGGGAGTGAGCCAGGGAGAGTTCAAGGCAGCTTAGGATATCTGGTCTGGAGCTCTGCTCCTTTGGAAATCGCTAGGCCAGATGCACGACGGGAGTGAATGGCTGTAACTCTATTGCAGTCAACAGAGGTACAGTGATTCTTCTCCTTTCCAAATTCTCTGTCCCCCCTTCCCTAACTGATCAGTCCCTCCCAGCTCCAGAATTTGCCCCTCACTCCCTCCTGTTATGGCTGGCAACAGCATTTGCCATGGCAGATATGAGCTTGTGCCCATGGATACATATAAGCTCTGAAATCAATGTTACATGCCTGCACAGCTAATAGGGAGACTTTCGTCCCTGATTAGCTGCTAATTAACTTGATCCACAGCTTAACAGCCTTTGTGGAGACAGTGTTATAGGATTGTTTATTTTTCCAGGTTTTTTTTTTTAATTGTGGTTTCAGGAAATATAAAAAGTAACAATAAATAACATTTGGGGGAAAAGCAATTTAAAGCTGTAGTACCAGGCAGCTGTACAACCATTAGCAGGGCAGAGAGAGGCAAAACGAGTGACGTTACAGTGATGCACAAAGACCATTAATTGTTACTTATTATCCGCCTGGTGGGAGCTCCTAGGAGACCATCCTGGACGCTAATAAAGCACTAGAACAGGTTACCCAGAGAGGCTGTGAGATCTCCATCCTTGAGAGTTTTTAAGACCCAGCTAGACAAAGCCTTGGCTGGGACGATCTAGTTGGGGCTGGTCCTGCTTTGAGCAGGGGGTTGGACTACGTGTGACCTTTTGAGGTCCCTTCCAACCTTCATTTTCTGTGATCCTATCACTGGTACCTCCAAGTGCTAGGTGCTGGACAAATATGCAAGGAAGCAAGGTGAGGTAGGGCACACAGCTCCTCAGACAACAGGTTTTGATGGGCAGGGCATGGCACTGCAACCCAGGAGACCTGTGTCCTAAACCCACCCCTTCTTGCTGATGCATCTCAGGACTGACTTGCACAGCAGGGAGTCTGACGCCATCCCCAGAGACCTCCTCCCATACGCGGCCAAACAGGGATAATGGCAGATACACCAGCATAGAATCACAGAATCCTAGAAAATTCAGGTGGGAAGGGACCTCAGAAGGTCACATCTAGTCCAGCCCCTTGCTCAAAGCAGGACCAGCCCCAACTATAACAGCTCGGGATAGCAAGAGCGTAACTGTGCTGGCTGCCGCTTACAAGATGAACTGAGTTTAATTAGGGCACATGGATCTTCTTCCTTCTGAAGATAATCACTGCATGATTGGGAATGCAGGGAACAATACAGCATCCCCTTAAGGGGAAAACTTGGGTTCAGAAGCTGATTGCTAATGAGAGACTCCTAAAATCCCCACAGAAGGAAACAGGGAACAAACAACTGTTCCCAGGCAAGACCCTGATTCTCTGCCCCCCTCTCTGTCATGCACCAGTGTGATGCAGGCCTGGATTGGCATTGACCCTAACCTCCCTTTGCAACAAATCAGGCCCTGCAAAGGAACCTAGTTACACCTTCAGGCCCCTCCACATCCCAGAGAAGCAAGGAAAGTATCGGTGGGACCAGAAATTGAGGCTGCAGCATCGGCTTATCATGCACAAACAGCACAATACAATAGCAGCGATGTCTGGACAGCACCTAGCACCTGGGGCATCCTGGCTCATACCTCAGGCTTCTGGCTGCTGCCACAATATGATAATAATGATGATGGGCGGTGGAGGAACAGGCCCTCTGAAATTTCACCAAGGAATTAACTGCCTTGAAAAGAACAATAGATATTCAAAAGGGAATCAGGACCATATGGTTTATGACCAGACTTTCTAAGCCATGCATCCCGTAGGTTAAATATCATTAAGGAAATAAGGAACAATGGGTTTGTAGGAAATCTTTGGCAAACATATGTTTGAGCCCCAAAATATTGTTGTTTAAAAAAAAAAAAGGACACACGGGGGGAAAGGACCTTTGAAATACAAGGCAGAATGAAGGGAGAGTCTCTTCCTCAAGTCCTTATTATCTCTGCTCCCACCCTCAAACATCCTCGTCCCGCATTTCAGCCCTGATGTTGCAATTTTGCTGCCCTGTGAAGCGCTGATTCATAATAAACAGTTACCAAAATATCTCCTCGCAGCAAGAACAGCAGAACAAACACTATGGGTTTATTACTTCCCCCCCTTCCTCCTTTTTGCATTATTTAGCCTCGAGATAGCGAGAATGTAACCGTGCTGGCTGCCTCTTACAAGATGAAATGAGTTTAATTAGGGCATATGGATCTTCTTCCTTCTGAAGATAATCGCTGCGTGATTGGGAATGCAGGGAAAAGTGCTGCCTGGAAAGAACTAATGGGAGGCCTGTATGCACTGATAGCCCACAGAGCAGGATTCTCCCCATGGTTTTTATC